GACACCATAATGTTAGGGTCGCCGGCCCCCGGGACCTCCCCTGCCTGCGACCCTGTCCGCGAAGTCCCGACGCTCCCAGACTCTCCACTAGTGTGGGAGCTGCCGCCGCCGCACTCCTCCCCGGGCGGGGAAAGGTCGTCGCGCTCCTGTTCCCCCCCCTGTGCCGTCCCCCCCCGAGTCCGGGTCTCCTGCCGGTGGGGCATCACCCTCGACCTCCCTGGGACCCGCTAGCGCTTCGCCGGCACCCAAACGCGACGCTCCCCGCCCGCGCAGTCCCACGCACCAATCACACGCGGGTAACCGGGGGGTTAAAGGTCGGAGGGTAAGCGACGTCGTTCGTGCTCACTCCGACGATTGGGGGGATTGGATTAAACGGGTTTAAAGGGCTATGCGATGGGCATGCGTGCGAGATGGGTATCCGCTCGCAACGTGGGAGTCCGCAGCCGACGGTTGGTAGCGCACACACTCCACGCGGCGCCGCTCCACACACGCGGCGACCGCCGCAAACAGCAAGCTCACCCACGCTTCCACTCTCTTTCCACACCCGCGCAAAAACCACACCAGTCTGTTATGTAACGACCACCGCGACAGTAAGCGCACCCACGCTTCCGCAAAAACCACACCAGTCCGTTATGTAACCGCCGACGATTTATTCCACCGCGCCGGCGAGCCCTTATTTAACCGAGTCAGTCGGGATCAGCGGGGCAGGACCAATCTATCTCTCGATAGTCGGCACTACACTCTACCTGTCCTCCCCTTTACCCTCTCCTGTTTTGCTCTTAAGCTAAGTCCCAACTCCCTCTCTCTCTCTTACTCACGGTTCGTCGTCACTGCCGTCTGGTCCTCGCGGCGCTTCGATACGTCCCACGGACGTTCGCGCGGCTGGACTCGGGAGTTGACGGACCTGGGGTCGACTCGAGTAGCCAGAGGCCCTTTTTCCTTCGCCCTGACCCGCTTTATTCTTTCTACATCAAAGGGGCTACCTGGTGCCGACTCGCGGGCCAATCAGCTCGCTGGGATCACCCGCCAATCGGTAGGCCCATCTGTATCCCAGCATCCCCCGGGCCGTTGCTTTCAGCGACGTCCGCATCTAAATTTACCTGCTCAGCGGCCCTCCAGCCAGAGGGCGACCCTGCTTTCCCGCCGCTCGTGGCTCTGCCCTCCTACCTGCCTGCTGACCCGTGTGTGTTGTGTGTGCTGTCTACCCGCGGTGGCTCGGCAGCCCCGTCGTGACCATGTAATTACAACCAAAGTCACGGCGCCGCGGTGGGTGTTAGCGTCGGGGGAGACCGTCCAATTCCCTGGCTGCAGGAAACCGTGAAGATTATCCCTTTACGAGGGCTTCTGGGTGAAAACCTGTCGGCCAGGGTGCCTCCCCACGCGCTCTAATGGTGGGGGGGAGTGCGTGCGTGTGTGTTCCGGTGGGGGGGGGGGTGGGGAGGTGGTGGGGTGGAGCAATGTCGGCCTCGCCGCTCGGGGCGGCGAGATCGCAGGTGGGCCACCCGCCGATCGGCTCCGTGGCGGCGGCATCACATCAACACTACAATTACATCATCAGCTCAGGGGGTGCGGCATTCGGTCATGCGGGGAGGCCCAATCCTGCTCTAATGAAATTAAAATAAAACGTGGAACGTAGATTGAAAAAAACTTTGACATTTTTAATTTGAATAAGTGTTTGCTGTTCTTTTACACTTATTGAAAACGTATCTCTTGGTGGTTGTCTCAAGGTCGCTTTGGACGATTTTTGACCCCCGCCCCCCCCTCGTCACACGGCGTCACAGAAAGTCAGACCCCACCTCAAATATGACGTCACAAAGCTCTGCCCCCCAGGGCCCCCCCCCCACAAAAAAACATGCTTCAAATCGCTTTAAACTATTGTCATTGTAGTGCGTATTTAATGTGGCGCTGCACTCTGATGTTGTAGGAGAAAACATCTATTAAAACGACTATTTAATTAAGTAGAACGTGTTGTCTATATTTATTTAAAGTTGCGCATTTTGATGTGACGTCACATTTCTCAAACCCCCCCTCTCGTCACACATCGTCACAAATGTATGTGTCCACGCAAGTTCCGCTACTGCTCAGTTTATGAGAAGTGATGAGGCCTGGCGCATTTCCAGGTGACATGATCTTAATAGCTGTCAACCCATACACTTTACCCGTATTGGTGAACCGGAAAATTGAATGTTCAGGTCCATACGGCGTACAGTCGTTTCAATATAAGGGCAAAAACAAAAACGTTGTCTATTTGTTTGTGTTTCTCCCTTGCGATGGCACTTTGTAGGATGAGCGTTGAGATTTATAAGGGGCACGGGGTGACCAATAAGGATTGAATTGGTCTGTAATAAGGTAAGGGCACTGATACGTGGTTGACAGATGTGGATCTTGGTGGTGTACTTTGTAAATATAGTTTGCCATTGAGAGTAAAGGTTATGCAATGCACCCTGAACTTTGTTTGAATGGATGTCCAGTATGTTGAACTTTCTTGGCACCGTACGTAGCCAACCGCGCTAATCGGAGGTGCGGGGAAAGGATAACAAACTAAACACAAATAAGAGTATTTAACAACCGTGTAATTTTCAGTATAATAATTAACAGGCAACTCGCATGTACGTCTCCTACATATAGGAAGATATCGCACGAGCCGAGTATGTGAAAGCAACACTTGATTCAAACGTGCCCTTAAGGGTACCATTCATCTCTACAACAGTGTTCAAGAGACACCAAATTAGCCCACCCCCCCCCCCCCCCCCATTATCAGCCTATCCCAAAAAAAGCACTCATTTTACGACACAATTTCCAAATTTATCAAAGGATACCTCACAGAACAAGGGCCGTCCATAAATGACGTCACGCACCTAGGGGGGGAGGGGGGGGTTCAGACATTTGTGATGATGTGTGACGAGGGGGGGATGGGTGGTTTGAGAAATGTGACATCACATCAAAATGCGCAACTTTAAATAAATATTAATTATATTGTTGGTTCTTTCGGTAAAGTCACGTAGAAGGGAAACAATTAAAAAATATAAAACAATACAATTCTCACGACGTTCATGAGGCTATCCACATTTACGAACACAGAGACAATTTCAAACGAGAAAATGGATTCTGGCTTAGCAATCATTGAAAGGATTTGATAAACCATTTCGGGTCTTAATTGATTGTTCACGCTTACGGTGGCTTTCAGACCGCATCCATTATTTTCGTCTCCCCCCTCCTCTTTTCCGAACATAGATGGACTCGTCCATCTGAATAACTGCCAAATCGCTCTCCGTGGTGCTAACGTTAAAAAAGTCGCTTTTTAAAAAAATTATTGCTGTGGTTTTCACACCTGATGATGATTGCTTGTGTTGCAGTCGAAACGTCGTGAGAATTTTATTGTTTATATTTTTATTATTTTATTGTTTCCCTTCTACGTGACTTTACCGAAAGAACCAAGAATATGAATCCCTGCAGTCACGAAAGCTGTAAATAAAAAAAATATTAACTAGAATTGTTATTACAATAATTTTGATCATATTTCATTACTAACTATTTGATTATTTAAATTTACTAAGGTCACCTTTTATTTGTTCCATGAAGGAGCATTTTGCCTCTCCATGGGAAAATGGAGAAACATAAATTTTGAATTTTTTTTGAATGATTGTTATTAAACATTTTTATTCTAATGATTCTACCAGGGCTTTTCATTCTGTGAAATGAATATGTGATTGTTATACTGCAATTGTACTCTCCATTTTGCTTCGTTCTACTACAAAGTTTCAAGTATTATTCTATAGTTACAATTACCTTTAATATTTTATAATTATAAGAGAATTTCAATATAATATTCTGAACATATGCAGTTTTAGTTGAATATTAATTTTATGCTAAATTTCAGCTTTCCAACGCCTCCATTTTAATGTTTTCTCCTACAACATTAGAGTGCAGCGCCACATTAAATACGCACTACAATGACAATAGTTTAAAGTTATTTGAAGCATGTTTAATTTTAAAAATGGAAATACGGTTTAGGGGGGGCAGAGCTTTGTGACGTTATATTTGAGGGGGGTCTGACTTTTTGTGACGCCGTGTGACGAGAGGGGGAGGGGTGGTCAAAAAACCGCCAAAATCGCGTGACGTCATTTATGGACGGCCCCATAATAAAGGATTTCGGCCTAAATTAGGCTTCTTTAGGTTGACTGAGCCTTAAATGCTGGTGCTGTGTGTAAACATCGAGCACTGGGGGAGACAAAGGCGGTCGGACGTGGTCCCGGCCACCCACCCCTTCGTGTGCCTTGCCAGCCTTCATAGGTGCTCGCTAACAGCACTTGTCCCAAAAGTCGAATTAAGCTATACGGGAACTCTTTGTCTTTGTGTGTGAGGGTGGAGGGGGGGGTAGTGGGGGATCCCAGAGGGCTTAGAGATAGGTGAGGAGGGTGGGGCACAGCTGGGAAGCTGCTCGCTCGATGGTTTTGGCTCCGGGCCACGCAACGTTTGCTTACAGTCGCGCCAGTAATCAACTTTAGCCTCGAACACCGACGTCGTGTGACTTCTGTGCGTGTGAAGAAGGCGTCAGCGTGGTGTGCAATTTCAGCGTGGGGGGTGGGGGGGGGGGCGAGTGAAGCTGCGCCGCGTGGTACACGGTGCGTGTTTATTCGTACAGCTATTGTGTAGTGCGTGCACGTGGTGAGTGAGCAGCGAGCACGGGTGGCTGCGCTTGCCCGCAGCCCCCGCAGCGTGAGCGGTGGTTTACACGGTGGTGGGTGGGAGGCAGAATAACGCGAGGCGGTGGAGAGCCAGCCACGAGAGCGGTGGTTTACACGGTGGTGGGTGGGAGGCAGAATAACGCGAGGCGGTGGAGAGCCAGCCACGAGAGTGGTGGTTTACACGGTGGTGGGTGGGAGGCAGAATAACGCGAGGCGGTGGAGAGCCAGCCACGAGCCATGTCCCACAGAGAGGACGCTGATGCGGGGAGGCCGATGACTCGATCGACGGCAGCCCGGCGTGAAGGGGAGGAGGATGAGGGGGGGGGCATCAACCCCCACAGGTGTTGCCCAACCAACGTCGATAACAGCTGTCACTGCTCAGAAGTTGACGTCACTGACGGCGTGACGCGCGTTCTGGTAAAGCGTGGAGGGGAATACCCCCCGAAACCCCCCCCCACCCTCCTTCATATCGGCTTCAAAAGAACGCGCGTTCGCGTTCGACTTTACTTTCCTGGTTTTCAAGGAACGCCGATCTTCTCGGGGTAAGTTTTCAACCGCCATCGTATATTTACTTGTGTGTTGCCATCATCATCATCATCACCAGCCAGCCATAGGCATGGTTAATCCACTGCTGGATAGAGTGCCTCCGACCACCAACCACTACCACATTCACGCGAGCGACACTGCGACGCAACAAAGTCACCCATGCAGCCCCAGCAGCCACCGCCACCTATCTCTCTGGTTTCATCGATCCATCTCCATGCGCTCACAATGTGTTGCTCCTGTGCCTGGTTGCCACGAGCGCGCCTCTCAAAGCCCACCGGACATAAACATTGCAACGTTGTTGTTGTTGTGTGTCTGTGTTCAGTTGTCCTTATCCCCGCACCTCCGATTAGCACGGTTGGTGGATACGTACGTTCAACATACATACATAATCACTCCGTTATATTCGTGCAATAAGCATCGGTAGCGTTAAGGCACGATCTAAGGCTCATTGATCCATGGCTTATGGGATCCTACGGGTTATTTAAGACGCACTTGTGCCCCCGTGTATCTTAAAGCAAAAGGTAGGGGGATATGTGCGTCTTATGATCCGGTGTGTGTGTGAGACCAGATTTTGTGTCACTTGATTGACACAAGTTTGAGGTTACTTTCCAGAGCGTCTTCTAATCCGGGGAATAGAGGAATCACAAACCAGCATTGACGACGGGAGGATATAATCTTAAATTCCCGAGCTCAGCGACGAACAAATAGAGATTTTTGTTTTGTTTGTTATACATTGTGTATACTGTGTGTTTAAAGTGTGATGTTGTAGTATTGTGGGGAGCGGTAGTGTAGCGGTTAGCGCGCTGCGCTACGAACCCGGCGACCCAAGTTCGAATCCCACTGCACGGCCACCACCGGTGACGATTATCTGAACCGGTCCTGGGTCTCCTCCCCTAGGTCGACTCAGCCTCAAATGAGTACCTGGTGCGGTGTGCCCTGGGGAGACAAAGGCAGCCGGGCGTGGTGCTGGCCACCCATCCCATCTTGTGCGGTGCCGGCCTTCATCGGTGTTCGCTAACAGCACTTGCCCCAGCAACCTCTTAACGCTATACGGGGGATCTTTGTCTTTTTGTTCTAGCGTATAAGGGTGACATCGTGTTTAAGCGCGATGTTATAGCGCTATAATACGGCCGAACCTTGCGTTGGGGAGTACTGTGCCGTGTTTAATTATAGTTGGGTCTGCGCGTGTACAGTCCCAGCTCTTTAAATAAAACTTGGCCACGACACACACTGGCACGACTATTTGCTGGGCAGTGTTATTATTTTCCAGTGTGAGATTTCTACTGAACTGACACACAAAGAGAACGCCTGGCGATTGAATACGCAGTGTGTACGCGCAACAATTGCCCTGTTTGCCCGAGTAGAATTTCCATTGCTGTACAACAGCGTCTAAATAAAACAGTGCGAGACACGGGTATGAAGGCGGATACATGTGTAGGGTGTTTACAGTACCGTGTGTTTATTTTAGCGAAGAGTCGTCGCGGGAGGAGAGGAAGGTCTTGAGTCTGGGACCTGAACAAGGGGCAAAGCAGTCGACATCACGGGTTGGGTGTGGGGAAACTTACATCTTGAGGAGGCAACGGATGACAAGCCACACCTGGCAACCCCTCGTCAGTGCCCTACCCTATTACAGACCAATTCAGACCTTATTGGTCACCCCATGCCCCTTAGAAATCTCAACGTTCATCCTACAAAGTCCCATCACAAGGGGGAAACACAAACAAATTGACAAAAAAATGTTGTTTTGCCCGTATTGAAACGAATTTACGCCGTATAGACCTGAAAACTACATTTCCCTGTACCAGAATACGGGGTAAACCGTATGGGTTCACAGCAGTGCCGGATTAAGCTAGTGTGGGGCCTGTAACAAATGATATAAAGGGGCCATAAATAAAAAAAACACATAAATATTAAACCACTAATTTGTCATTTGCATAGTAAAGTAATTGCATTTTTTCATTTGCTATACAGCCAGATAATACGACAAATCGGGAACCTTAAACACCCAGTCGTTCATAACAGTTGAAGGCGGTATAGTACTATAGTAATCGACCAAGTGCAGAATCACTGAACCGGAATTCATAGCTTGAAAGCGTTTAGCGCGGGGCCCTTGAAAGTTGCGGGGCCCGTAGCTACTACTACTACACATGTAGTAGTAGTAGCTACATGTGTAGCTCCTTGTGCTACTAGGATCACCCGGCACTGGTTGACAGGTACAGAGAAGGGACCGCCCCTCCCTCCCTCGCCAAAAAGCAGACACACGTCAACAGATTTTGGGCATTGTGCCACGGTTACCGGGTCGAGGTCAGCACTCTACACAATGGACCTCGCTGCCCAATTGAATTCCAGTTGCGCTCATTGTCATCGCGTGCGCGGCGCGAGGTGAAGAAATGTCCATTCGGAACTCTCACAGAAAGCTGTGTACCGACGCTGACAGTTTAACGAGTAGGCCTTCGTGACCAAATATAAATAAAGTGCGTTGTTTTTTTTTTGTGTGGGCGAGTTCGTGTAAATATATAAACGTGTCGTTAAACCCACCACCACCCGACACAGCCAATTGGTAAGGTTTGTCATGTGAATAAAACGTGGCAATTAGTTGCTACTTCGGCACACCGGTGTGTTAGAGAGTAACCAATTCTGGCTATCGCCTGACAAAGCTGGTTTTGGGTTTGCATGTATTCCCCGTGGTCGCGTGGATTTTTTTTCTCCAGGTCCTCCGGTTTTTCCCTCCACATTTAGAATCAACGTGAGTTTCGAGTATTCGGTGGATGTAAATGTCCACGTGATAAGCCACTTCGTTGACATTATTAGTGGCCAGGTCGATTCTGAAAAAGCGCTCAGTGGACCTTACCCGGTAAGAAAAAAAATCAGAGTAATAGTAACCTCTGAATATCACGTATGAACACGTTATTCAAGAGTGTACTGAGACGTCTTTAGAAACCATCGCTGACTTTGAACCTTACACAAACTTTTACAGTTGAAGTGGTGAGAGCCACACCCAATGCTATCCACCCAGCTACACTCCTGCCGAAAGTGTTCCGTGGGAGCATGCAACTGCTTTAACAAACATACAACACTGTGGGTGTTTTTACTCCACTATTCTAATCATCCTCTTTTCAGCTCGGAGAGATTCAAGTGGGTCCTCTAAGATTCGCTTTTCAAGTCGATGAATGCTGGTTGGGGTGTATTATGAACTTCACAATAACTGTATGCGCGTGTGTGTGTGTGTTTCATGTGCTGCTGGTTTGTTAGCATGGAGAACCCGGACATGGTGGAGTGTCCCATTTGTGGGCGGTTGTTTAAGTACTGGGACATACAATTCCACTCTTCCAATTGCCATAAATTTCCATCTCCATCGCCGTGCAGCTATGATATGGAGTGGAAAGACCGCAAGAAAGAGGTGCGTTTAAAAAAAAATGTGTGAGCTCATTAAAAAGTTGTACGAGTGAGTTTTCAATCTGAGATTCTTTATCATCATTAGCCATTTCCTATCCACTGCTGGATAAAGGCCTCCGAACTTCATCTCTATCCCTTCATGGTCTTGTGAGGCTACAGTTGGATCTTCTGGACATGAACATACTGTATACCAACACTCCACGGTGGTTGCCCTCTGGGATGCATTCTCTCTGTTGGCTACAATTCCATCACTTTTGCCCATGAGCCATAGTCCTGGCTATGTGCATTATCTGAAGCCACTTACTCTTCTGTGGGCCATATTACCACACATTTGGTGTTTGCCAACAGCACGAGCTGTTTGCCACTGCAAAGCTCCAAACTGTAATGGCAAGGACATGGTGTCACTTGTGCGTGCACGTACAAGCAGAAACATGTTTACACAACATTAGTACACTATTTGTGAATATATGAAAGGCCTGTTTTGAGTTTAAGAAATAGGCTTTCGCAGCCAATGTCGTTCATTATTGGGTTTCTTTGGGTCAGATCGCTGTGTGAGTAAAATCTGTGTCGTAAACCCTCCTCCACCCGACACAGCAAATTAATAAAGTTGTCACGTGATGAACAAACGTATCTATGGGACCTTTTTTCCAGTATCAAAATCATGAAAAAAATAAAAAAATTCCCAGTATCAAAATTATGAAAAATAATAATTTCATCATTTTTATACTTGCAAAAAAGTCCTGTAGATATAACTGCTCAACGCGAGATATTAAGTTTGATACTTGAATTATCTTTGTACTGTTCGACTTTTTGTGTCCTCTGGTCTAACACTCATAAGACAAGGCCATAAAGAAGGCTGTCCGGTGTAGGCCAATTAGTTTAAAAGACAATGCATCTATTATTAGGGCATGTTTTTTTGCATGTTTTGACACAAGTATGTGTGGTTAATGCAGACGTGATGCCTTGTAATAGGTATCTATTTGGTCTTTCAAAATCTCAACACCTGTTTCATTGCCAGAAAGTGTAAAGCATGTTTCTTATTTTTTTCCTGATGAACAAGCATACCGATTTACCACTAGCTTCAGCAGCAGCAGCACCACCCACGCGTCTGAGAACAATTCACAACACTCAATTGAGTTCGGGCGTTCCGCTGGTAGTTCCAGCCAGCATCATCAGGCAGTTTTCAGATATCTCAAACTGCCCTCCAGTCTGGGGACTTTCAAATGCGTCATTAAAAATGTCGCAATGTGACGTTCATGTTCCTCGAAACGATGTGCACATGTGCAGTCAAACCAGGGTGCGACGAAATGTCACGAAGATGAAAAAGAGGGGATACCAAAACGCGTCTCTTTCGACGACCCAGGTATTGAAATTACTTCTTGCTCTACGAAATAAACCGAGTTTTAAATAAGATGTAGGGTAAATAACTCGGCTTTTTTTTCTACGTATATAGAAATGTATATGTTTAGTAACTTTTGCCATTTTCTATAACGGAATTGTGTCTCTTTAGCAGTTGCTTATTGGCATCGTGTGTTTTTTAATGTAATTAACGTGTTGGGCTTTTGTTCGTTTAGAAGTGTCCTGATTTTGACTGTTTGTGATTGGATGTACTCCATCAAGGGTCGATTCTTTTCACATGACACCTTAAACACAGTCATTTGAGAAAAAACAAAGGGCATATCAGTGTCTATTCTATTCACGTGCAGTATACGGTATTTGGAAAGACGTAAACACTTGTTTTGCATGCTATTGATTTTCTAAACAACTTTAACTATAATAAGTGACACTTGTTTGAATAAAAAAAACGCTCATTGTCAACGCCGTAGAGACACTGTGTTTGCTTGGAATTATAGCTCCCTATTGTATTTTCATTTTAACGAGTACACGTCTACACACTGTACAATATACACAACTGGGTGATGCTGGGAACAACATTGCGGTTGGAAGGTTACGAGTTTTAAATCCAGATTTGGGGTCAATTCAACGCATTATTTCTCTGGCGGTTAATAAAATGAACAACATTGGCGAGACAAATTCCCGCCATGTTAGTGTGGAATTTCTCCCACAACACTTCATAGTCAGGTGAACATTACAGTGGCCGCAAATAACCTCAATGGGATGAAGCCACATGGCAGCATGCGCCCAGCCCCTGCTGTGGAAACTACTGCAGATGATACTCACAGGTGAAACTTAGCGCCTGCACAGAGGGAAGTGAAGCAAATGCGACTGTTGTCCATAGCAAAGGTTATTTTTAGGGGGTTGTATCTCGTAAATGTAAATGTGTCGTTAACTCGCCACCACCCGACACAGCCAATTAGTAAGATTTGTCACGTGAACAAAACGTGATAATTAGTTAACACTTGGGTGTTGGAGAGTAAACCCACAAAATAAAAAAAAATTTGAGTTCTACGTTTCGCTGGTGATTACAGCCAGCTTCATCAGGTGATTTTCCAGAATTGTGAAGAAGTCTTTCTGTTTCAGTCTTAAATAGAGCAAAGGTGAGCTCATCAATGTGAGCCTATCAGGTGCAAAGACCAGAGGGGAGTTAATATAGTGATGTAAATTATGATAGATGATGCAGTACCAATTAATGGTTGGGTTAGTCACAGTTAATTAACATTCCATTAATCAAAATACAGAGTGCTTCAGAGAAATGTTAACACTTACATGGGACAATCGTTTTCAATGGAAAATAACGGATAATACACTGTAACATGATAACAAATGTATGCGAATAGCTTCAAAAATGCAGTCTCCACTTGTTCACCATCATTGTCAACACGTGGCCTGGAATCTTCCCCAGGTGGTTTCCAGAGACCTCGGAGGCAGCATATTTCTTGTGGCATTGTTGCAAATTCTCCGAAGTGTTAACATTTTTTCGAAGCACCCTGTATATATCACTGACCCGCACTGACCTGTGGTGGTGAAGTATGGCCAAATAACCGCAACGACCCGCACGGCGTGGAGAGGCCATCACCCAACATTGGATTGACAGAAGGGCTGTACAGTACTTTTATATTGCATCTACACGTCGCAACGACATTGTTGTGCAGATAATTTGTAAAGTAACTAAATGCATTTTTATTCTCGAGACATTAATTATCAACAACGATTTTACAGAACCTGAAGATCACTTCGGCAAGATGGAAAGGCACACGGGGAGAGATGAAGGTGATAAGGTAGGTACTTCACCCCAGCAGAGTTAACATCACCGACGATGACCACAACTATCGTTTTAACTCGCATCACGTGTTCATACAGTTGTGTTAATGGATGAGCTTCAGCTCCATTGATGGAACCGCACAGGGATCTTATATTCCATCTGCTCATTTATCTCGGGTCCAATGGAGGGATCTGCAAGTTATTCGCTAAATCATCCATGGTGCGGATTAGCCAAGCTTGCAAGAAAAATAAATATCTTTACACGCGAGCGCTGGTTTAATTACGAGCTGCTCTTCACTCGTCGAGGGTCAGTGACTAGGTGCCCATGTGACCACGAAAACACTTCGGCAAATGAACCGATTACTTAAAAAAAATCTATAAAAACAGACGGTGTATTCTATCTATCCATCCTGTTCTATATAGGTAAACAATACAATTTCATAGCCTAATTATTTGCATTGTTCATTTTTTTATTTTATCTGGGCCACCTCTTTCCCCCTGCCCCGATTACCCCAGATAATCGACAGTTGGATACTAATATAAATTATTTGGCATCAGCGGGAGAGGTTCAATGTTTCACTGTCCAGTCTCCGTCAGCAATGCTCTTTACGAAGTACAACAACTCATCATAGCCACGGTAGATTGTGTTGAACACAAACACATAAACAAACAGAGCGTCTGCCTCGCCGTCACCGCCACCATCATCAGCATCAACCATGATCAATCCACTGCTGGATGAAGGCCTCCCAAAGCAATCGCCATGTCTCATGGGCCTACGATACAAGAGTGCATCCAGGCACCTGCACATTTCGTTACATCATCTCCATGCTAGATCTCCTCTTGGGCATAATCCCTCACGTGGTTTACAACATAAATAAAACATTTTATGGCCTGTATGTAGACCCACTAGACCAAAATATGTATTCTGGCAGCATTTATGTTAAGATGCAACTCTCTTGGACTCTGGACTTTCTGAGTATCATCGACAGAGTTTGACATATTAAACAAAATGATTCAAGCTTAAGTGGCTTGCTAGACAACAGCACTTGATGAAAATTAGAATTCGTAAAATTGTGTAAATAGACCTTCATGACCAATATGATTAATATTTTGTTTCCACACGAGAGCTGAGTTTTATTAACATCTGATTATGCTGGATATATTCTCCAGTGAAACGTATAAAGTTGTCAAAGACGTACTTGCACTTCAATATTCCTCCAATTTGGTGAAAAATCAAATCGACTGTCATTTTTGCCCACGTGACAACTTGACTTGATTGTCTCTGTCAGGTGGTGGAGGGCGATAGTTACAAAAAAACGACGTACCTACACAACGACCTAACCTCAAATAAACTAAGTACGAATCATAATTTACAAAAAAAAGCTGCTGAAAAACATTATTCCAGAAAGTACACATGCAGGCTGATGGACTGCAATCTTTTTTATGTTTATGAGGAAATAGTGGAGGCACCTAAACCTGTGGCAATGTGAGCAATTAATTGCAGGGATGTACCTTTTTTAATACATAGACTTGTCTGCTTATTTATTAATTTATTGCCCACAATCCACCACGGCCGAGCATAATGAGTTTTCTCAAATTCACTGTTTTCCTCTGAACATACCCCACAGTGTTGATGGAAATGCTCTTGCTTATTGTTTCGCATACATACAGTACATGGAAAGCCCCCTTGTCAATTCACATCCAGCATTATTTTACCAGGTTAGTGAAGGCAGGGGGGACAGAGGCATGGTAGCATAGATGTACAGTACAACAAGTTGCTTTTTTCTGCCCTGCCCGCTGCTGCCCACCACGTGACCCAGCATAAATTGTCACACAGGCTTAACTCTGCTGACGAGACTCATCAAGGGCGAAGCAGAGTTATACCTGCTTAAACAAATGCTGCCTGAAAACACAAGGCCCATATAGGCCGTTGGTCATTAATACAATTTTATTTTGACATGGTGAAAAATACGCCTGCTTTTCCATTTATTGTCTCTGTAAAGGTGTGCGCGTGTACGTGAGAGTGTCGTTTCTCTGAACCAGTCTTGGGACCTCTCTTAGGATGACTCAGCCTCACGGTAGACTAAGGTTGCCAGGCTAGTTTCTGGCCACACCATCCCCTTGCGTGCCATTCCAGCCTTCATGGTTGCTCGCTAATAGCACTCACGTTCCCCAACAGTCTGTGAAGGCTATATGTGGGAACCTTTGTCTTTCTCCTGAGGCTGCTGGGTGTGGTTGTGGTGGCCCTGATGTTAGCAATGTCTCTCCACTCTGGCAGGATCAAGCAGAGGGAGGGTTTGAGCCATGCCAGCCGTGTCCCGTGTGCTCCGAGATGTTTCTGGAGGATATAATCGATTTGCACGTCAATTACTGTTTGGATAACGATGAAGAAGCACAGCAACACGTGCCCAGGACTGACGTTCCCAATTGCCAGTCTTCACTCAATCAGCACTCTCAAGGTAATTATTACCCTACATGGACACAGCTGCAAAGGTACAAAAGCAGTGACTTTAGCTAAACACATATTTGTGTCAGGGATGAGTTTGAAATTAAAATTTTGAATATATTTCTTTTATTTTCTGACGTTTGAGGACAATTTTGTATTTTGGTGATGTATTCAAATAATGTACTTGATTTATGAAGGTGACGTGTCTTTCACGTGATAAGCCACTTTTGTTGAGCTATCATTTGTGGCCAGGTCGTTTCTGAAAAAGAGCTTTTTATAGCTCAGTGGGCCTTACCTGGTAAAATAAAAAATATAATTTGTTTTTAGTTTAACCTTATCTGATGCCACGTGATGCCACTTTTTGTCACAAAAGAGCAGGCGTGACATCGTGGGAGCGATGTCACTTGTATGTATGTATGTTGAACTTCTTTTGCACCGTACGTAGCCAACCGTGCTTATTCGAGGTGAAATCACATTTTCGGATGAGTCCAAAGCAAAAAAAAATGTGATCATCAGAAGTTATATATAAATATCGACTTTATGTTTATACCTTGTGGTTTCATTTGGAGGTTGGGGACACATCACTCATTTCTATAATATAGCTGCAACACAGCCTAGTGCATATCTGTCAACCCGTATGGTTTACCCTGTATTCTTGTACAGGGTAATTTAGTTTTCAGGCCCATACGGCGTACGGCCGTTTCAATACAACACATTTTATTGTGTTTCTCCCTTGTGATGGGATGTTGTAGGATAAAAGTTGAGATTTATAGGGGCACGGGGTGACCAATAAGGTCTGAATTGGTCTGTAATAAGGTAGGGCACTGATAAGGGGTTGACAGGTATGTAGTGGCAATCAGGTCGTCTTTGAGTTACACTCCCAGTCAAATGTATTTTATATGCAGTATTAATTCTTGTTTCATCTGCACTCTCATTTTGTTTTACCATTTTAAGTCCGTATAACGTCATGATATATTTCACATTCTAATATAATGCATAGATAAATTACCGTGTATCTTATTGTACGCATTGTTGTCCTTCCTCCGCACCTCCGATTCGCACGGTTGGCTCGTACAGTGCGAAAGGAGTTCAACAAACATACATGGGCTTTTGTGTGCACGGCTAGCAACACTGTGCTACGATTCTAGATTTAAAGCTTTCGTGACTGCTAGGATCCATACTCTTTGGTTCTATTGGGTAAAGTCACGTAGGTGATTTTTTTGTTATTTTATTTTCACCTACGTGACTTTACCCAATAGAACCAAGGAGTACTGTGCTACGAACCTTGCAACCTGATGTTGACTACCTGGTCACACCTAAAGTCCGCGGGAGAGTCGTATCCAGATAATCCTGCCCCTCCCCTAGGTCGACTCAGCCGTAAACGAGTAACCGACGTGTTAAAAATCAAAGGGTGGACATAAATAATGTTGCCCACACCGCTCACTCGTGTGCCGTGGCCCGGCGGGACCTTAATGGGCGCTTGCTTCCAGCGCTTCTCCCGAAAGTACTCGGACAAGCTACATGGGGGGGGATCTCTGTATTTGAATACATTATGTGCAACTGTTTTTTTCCACAATGAAGTTGGATGACTGTAGGCTAGGCAGACTAGTAGGACAACCATAGCAGGCCGTGACAACCCAGTCAACGCACGTCGGTACGTTGCCACGACAACAGGTGTAACATTTTTTTTATACAATTCAGTTTTTTTTCTGCCTTGTGTTTTGTGATTGAATGCTCAGATGAATCGATGGAACGTCCTGAGGACGAGGCCGATGATGTAAGTGAAACGGTGATTTTTCTCTATTATTATAGCAGTACAATGTTTAAATAGCATTATTCTTCGGTTAGTTATTTCAGAACCTACTGAGGTACAATAGCTGTTTTTTTAATGAACAGCTGTGCACGGAATAAAAATTACTTTTTAATTTAATATTTTGTAAATTCATTGATGTTGATGATGGTGTTGGTGGGGATGTTGGCGGTATTATTGATGATGATGATAATGGCTGTGTTGGTGATGATGGTGATGATGGTGTTGCTGGTGATGATGGCAGTGTTGGTGGTGGTGATGATGGCGGTGTTGGTGATGATGATAGAGGTGTTGGCGGTGATGATGGTGGTGCTGGCGATGATGGCGGTGTTGGTGATGATGATAATGGTGGTGTTGGTCGTGATGGCGGTGTTGGTGGTGACAATGGGGCGAACACCGGTAACAATTATCTAAATCGCTCCTGGGCCTCCTCTAGGTCGACTCAGCCTCAAATGAGTACCTGGTACAATATATAAACATCGCCAATAGGGAGACAAAGGCAGCCGGGCTTGGTGTTGGCCACCCACCCCCTTTGTGCACCGTTCTGGCCTTCATAGGTGCTCGTGAACAGCACTTGCCCCAACAGCCTGTTAAGGCTATATGGGGATCTTTGTATTTCGATGGTGCTGATGGTCATATTGACAGTGACGGTGGTCGTGATGGTTTTAATAGTGGTCGTAACAATTACATTGGTTTTGATGATGACAAATATGATGACGGTGATCATGACGAATGTATCCTCCAGCATTCCGAAGAAAAGGAAGAACAGGACACAAAATCAGAGGACGCAGAAAACAAGCACCTGGAGGAGGCAGCATCGGAACAAGTGAATGGGCAGGATGAGGATGGCGAGGGGATCCCTTGTCCTCTGTGCCAATACCGCTTCCCAGAAGATGTTCTACAAGATCATGCCGAAATGTGTGGGGAGCAAGAAGACGTCATCTTCCGGTTCATCAGTAAGCCCCCACATTATGCACTCTGTCTTGGCAGCATTCCACACCCACAGTGTCATCCACCACTCTGTCTCCTTACACAGAGATCATGAGGGGCACCGAGGGGAAGTCCTCTCTTCAAATCGTGGCCTGATGTAAGATCAGACCTTGGAGAACAAAGACGGTCACCGCATCGTGCATGTTCAGACCACTTCAGCGGCCGTCTGGAATACTCTTCCGATATTAGGAAGCCTCTGGAGTTATTGAAAACTCATGTCTATAGAGCTGTTTTTTTTGTATTTAGTATGCTGTCCTTCCCCCCGCACCTCCGATTAGCGCGTTTCATTACGTACAGTGCAAAAGAAGTTCGATATATAATTGTGCAACAGCTGAGGGATCAGGTAGAAGGTAGCAAGTGATCTTGAGGAATGAAAGCATCAGTGGGATTGGTCCCCATTACTTCGAGACATTGACCAAAGTTGACGTCCTCTTGGATGCATTTCTATCACTTGGCTGCAAACTCCGTGGTTATAAACAAAACTGAACTACAGTAAAACCTTGGATTGCGAGTAACTTGGTCTGTGAGTGTTTTTCAAGACGAGCAACATTTTTTAAATATTAATTTGATAAACGAGCGAGGTCTTGCAATACCAGTATTATGTATACTCTTTGTCTGCCGAGCGTCACGTGATCACAACTGATATCCGAGTGCTTTGATAGACGAGTGCTTTGGATTACAAACACGTTTCCGGAACGAATTATGCTCGCAATCCAAGGTTTTACACTGTATTTTTATTTCACCAGGTAAGGCCCACTGAGCTACACAGCTCTTTTTCAGAAGCAACCTGGCCACAAATGATAGCTCAACGAAGTGGTTTATCACGTGGAAATGTATAGCAGTCAAATAGGATAAAAGTATGTTTCTAAATGTGGAATTAAAAACTTAAGGACCCAGGGAAAAGTCCACGCAAACTTCAAATATGCAGGAGTCAGGGTCGGGATCGAACCCACGACCTCCTGCATCCCAGGCGAGGGAGTTAACATCTAGACACGGTCGCCGTCGTGGGAAAATGTTGAGAATATTTGTTATATACCGACTGGGAAGGAATCGTTTTTTAAACTTAAGAGATGCAATGTTAGGAAGAGCATGATGGTCAAAGGAATGTATTTCTCTCCAAAACGTTGTCCCTTTTAAACACAATCAGAATTTACAATGTACCCTTGCGTTCATGATACAGTAAACAAAAAATTCCTGGTTTTGCTGGACTTGCCCTTTCGGCAGACTGATGCTGGCGAAATAATGGACGCGTGTCCACGGGGTCCGTGAGCGCGCCCACTCGCCGCCTTACTCCCCTGTGTAGGGCCCAGTGTTTTCTTCTGAAGCTCCACGTTCATGTCTTTTCACTCCATCTCCAAACCCGTCACTAGCATTGCTCCAATCCCTGTGTGCCTCTTGCCTCTTTCACTCTGTCCTTGTGTCAATTGATTTCCTTTTGTACTCCTCTTGTTTGCTTCTCAGAGGGCATTAACACACCTCAACGGTAAGTACAGTGCAGCACTGAACAGGGGTCGGCAAACCAAAATAACAAGAGGAGATTTTTTTTTTCAAATTCAGTTTAAAAAAAAAATACCCTGAATATTTCAAGAGCCGACCTAATGCGATGCGAACACAAAGACAGATGCCTGAAAGAGCAGCACGCGGGTCCGGAGCCGCAGGTTGCCGACGCCTCGCACAGACCAACACACAATAACTATGTACAACTCAAATGCTTTGGAAAGTTGCGTGGTGTTCGTTTTTCTTCTGCATTTTTTAGTTTGTTGCATTTTGCAGCTGGTCAAACTTTTCAGACTTCCCCCCGCCCCCTATTTGTCCGGCGAGCCGGGGTGCCGCTGTATTCACAATACTGTGTTGTCGTCCGTTGCTGTGAAAGTTAACGTTGGATTAAACGGAACTTATTTTTGCGTTTCAGATTCGGAGCCCCGTAATTGTCCCATTTGCGACGAAACGTTCCCCATCCCGCAACTCCTTCAGCATGCAGTATTCTGCGATGGATGGAGGAGCAAAGAAGAGGGCAAGGCCAAGTCAGAAGGTAGCGTTTTGTTTTGAAAATATCCCCGTTGCGAATCTGTCATTCGTATACCAGCTGAGTCGAGCTTGCAGTATTTCCGTAGAGCACCTTACGTGTCGGTATTTACTATTTAACAGAATAAATTGCAGACCCCCTGGCTCAAAGAAGGATAAGGTAAAGTTCATCTCGGTTTGTGTTCCTAAACCAGTGGGTCAAAACTTCCACAATTGTATAGTAGAGGTCAGTCTCTCCATCGAGTTTCCCAATCTCCATTCCTCATGGCTTACCACTGCACGCCATTCCAAGTTTACCATGTTAAAGTACAAACTACGCACTGCACGTGCCTAACAATTGCTAAGCACTGAATCGTATTGCATGGAGAGCACACCTTCTTTTGAAGCGGCGATGTCCACGTTCATTTTCAAATGGGTTCTCTCTCCCTTAAATGAGTTTGTACGTGAAGAATGGTGAACATGAAGGGCCCGTGGCCCCCACGGAGGGCTACAAACGAGTGGGGCAATTGGACGGGGGGGGGGGCCCGTTTCCTTCCTTGCACCAGGGCCCGTGGCAACCACGGCCACGCCGCTTCATGTGCCATTGCGAGCACAGTCACGGGGGGGGGTCCTCTAATTGCTGTGAGTTGATCTGTGTGAGTTGATCTCTTGGACATCTGTGAGAAAATGACTGTATGGTGCATTGAATTCCTCCAGTATGAATACATATTGTGTCTCTGAATTGATCTGTGGTGTTTTCTATTTGTTGCAGTTGATGAAGAAGAGGAAAAAATAAACAGCCAACGTATCCTTGACAGGTATCTTTTTCTCTCGATGCCAGCACAAACTATTTACATGTAACAATCCGCGTGATATAACAGTCTCTCGACGAGACTCATCCTGGCCTCTTGAGTTCTCGCCACGTTATACAAATAAACTTGACCCGACTTCTCTCAGGTAACATGTATCAACTACCAGTAAAGGGATGCCACAAGTGAATGTATTGTTCAGAACATCGTCCAGTGACATAACTACCAGGTATGAAATTCAGGATCCTGCATCGGGTTACTTTGGTGAATGCTTAATAGATTAGCTAGCGAGGAAATGTTGTATGACTTGTCAAGCTCAACATAGAGACGTTTTGAGGTGAGTATCTATTGCGGGTGTCTACGGCATTGGTAACACTGAGTGCGGTTAATTTCTCTCATCAGACTAATACAAAATTGCGCTGACGGCGGTGAAGGGAACACAGAGGGTGCCGTGGCTACAACAGACAATTCTACGGAGTCATCGCTGATTAAAATTTTTACAACAATCAGCAACCTTCTGGGCAAGGACAGCAATTGGATAAAGTGAGCCGTGGCACACACAAGGACACAATAAACAAGAGGGAACTCTTTGGTAGTTGTGGTTTGAGTTTATCTGGGCAGTGCTGGAGCATGTGGCCCATAATCCAGCACTGGAGGCGAGGGTTGTTGCATCAAAGAAATGCTCAGCTTATGCAATCTAGCCCCGCAGCACTGTTGTTCAAGTGCCCAACTCACAATCACAAGGGTGCTGAGTTAAAATCCACGTCGGAGGTCATTCCGGTGAATATTTCTACTGAGGCCGACATAATGAGTGGGCACTCTGAAGGAAGTCAACAGTATTCTTGGTTCTTTCGGTAGAGTCACGTAGAAGGGAAACAATAAAATAATTAAAATATATATTGTTTTCCTTCTACGTGACTTTACCGAAAGAACCAAGAATGTGAATCCCTGCAGTCACGAAAGCTTTAAATCAAAATTGAAGTCAACAATGTAATTGTGTTGTCGAGAGAATGCCCTTTGCCACAGTAATGTGGAATTTTCACAACCGGTTTAGGGCCATCGGTCAAGATGAACACTACTCAAACCTCGTGTAAGCACAGCGACACTTCTTTGACCTTTTAATGATATGCAGTAGAATGTTATGCATTTAGATGAACATATTGAAATATTCTTCATTAGCCTCTAAGCCATCTTAAATAATGGTCAGAGACTGTACAAATATAACCCAACATGTAACCCTAACCCTCTTCCATACATGCAGCAAAATGGAAGAAATGTGGAAGCAATGTGATGGAAGCCCAATCAAGTTTATTGACAATTTCATGAAACTAAATTTCAACAAAGGCGTGAGTGGCATCGGTCCAAACAGCCTCATTTTTGAGATAATCAAGTTCGTCATGAGAAAGGTAAGTTTTTTTTTCCAAACTTGTTTATCTCGATTATTGAATAACCATGTACCTGTTTTTTCCTATCCCTTCAAAGTCTTATCACTCCACACAATCGTTGTGCGTGCTGGCAGGTTATGTTGGTCAATTAACAGAATGTTGATCCTCTCTCACCACAGTGTAATATGTAGCCGTGCCTGAGTGAGTGACTAACATTAATTATAATGTTCAATGAGGGTTACAAAGTGAACCGTAGGTTCACTACTAAAAATTGTCAGGTCTGTGCTTTAAACGTCATCAATATAGATTTTTTTTTTATTTTGGACCTCTCAAATTTAAGGAGCAAAATTGTTGAACTTTTTACATTTTAGCCATAGGCCCATGAAGGTCAGCATTTGTATGTTTCCAATTATAGCAAAAGTAACAAAACATTAATATATAAAATGTAAACACAAGCATCACTGATTTTCAGCCCTTACAAATTAGGAGATAAATACTGTATATTGAACTCTTTTTTTTACTTAACCATGCAGATGTTTGTATCTGGAGGTTTCGAATGTGCCAAACATTTAATTAACTAGTGACTTTTTGGAAGCATGCCATACTAAAGCTGATAGAACGTGAGCAAAGTCTGTTTTCAGTGACCGGCATTAAAGACAGTTGTGTCGAAGAACAAGGCCAGTGGTGTGTTAAAATACCATTACGATGTTTGCTCGTAAAAATATCAAGTAAAATTTGAAAATATAAACATATATTTCAAGAAATTGCCGTTCATTAACGTTCAACCAGATAATATTTACACAAAGCAATAAAACGTGTTTTACATTATTTTTCCCATATGAGCAACGTTTTTTTTACATAAACGACACTTTTTTTACAGATGAAAAACCAGGATGAGCGTAATACAGTTGCTTTGCATTGCAAAGGACTCTTCAACACGAGCATATTGCCATGGGTTGCGTCGATCGGGGGATGGGTAAGCCTCAACTCGTCTGTACTGTGGAAGTCACTTGAGCTGTGTACTTTTAAATCATCTACATTGAAAACTAATTTCTTTAATACTGCTTTTTGTGTTTAGTTTGTTGTCCTTTCCCCGCACTTTCGATTAGTACGGTTGGCTACGTAATGAAAACATGTGTTTAGATTATTTGGATGCTATGGATTTCCACGGGATGGGCTGCTTCGTTGGGCTATAGTTTTAGGCCAGATCTCTTCTGAAGAATAAGCTAATAGCTCAATGGGCTTTGCCTGGTAAAATTAAAAGTATTTTTTTGTGATTTGCTTACCTTTCGTATACTTTGCTCTCCTATCGTGTTTTTTGTACTGTTTGTTGTTGTCATGTTCTGACTTGCCCACTGGACATCTGTGAAAAAGAACTTAATAGCTCGTCGAATTTCTCTAGTATAAATAAATATTCTGATGTTGGTTTAAATACACATGGCCAACAGCAATTTGAATAATTTATAAAGTCAAAGTGTATCAAATTGCCATGGGTCTGTGCTCATCTCCATTGGCACTCTTGTAAATTGAACTGTCGTGGTCTTTCTGAGTTATCACGTGGTTGAACAAAATGAACTTGATTGGCAGCTCTGATCCAGTTATAAGAAATTCCACATTTGTACGTTTGGGAGCCCGTTCGTCAAAAGGGCTGTCAACTCTTGGCTCTCCACAGTGGTTACTGATGTTACACACTTCCAAGCGATGAGTTGAACCATAATACAACTTTCCAATCGTGAGTTGAGCCCACAGAGCCACCCAAGGCTGCATATAAACTACTCCCTGTTTGAGCAAGGTTCGGTGTGTTTATATCTGAAGCGTGCCTGTATCAGAAGTTGCCCTTCGCCTGATGATGCTGGTTGTAATTATTGGCGAAACGTCGTACTCAGATTATAAATGTTGTGGATTTGCTCTCCAACACACCGGTGTGCTGTACTGGTAATTAATCAGCACGTTCTGTTTACGTGACAAACCTTACTAATTGGCTGTGTCGGGCGGTGGCATTTATATTTCCGCGATATAACCCCCCCAAAAAACGACATTATGTAAGGGATGCACTGCGCTTTTATAAGATGTGGCAATAACCAGCTTCAACTGTGCAGGATAATCGCTAGAACACACTGTGCAAGCAGTGCTGCTGACACCACCATGCCTCGCCATTGCTTCCACCATTGGTTAATTAAATTGGTGATCGATCGTTTCAGGATTTGCCCTCACGTCAATCCAAACGTCGTGTTTTGCAGAAAACCTTGCTGGTGTGGCTGACCTTCCTGGTGGCCATTTGCGGAGTGGTGTATTTGGCCTATCTGGCCTACACCAACTTCAGGAAGTGGCGCCAGGCACGGAACAAGTCTTGAAGTTGCGGCCTGCAACGACATGATTATTTCAATTGGGAGTCCTTCATTGAAGCTGCCCGTTTACAGTCACTGGAGGACTCTGTTCAACTGTCCAAACACACCTTTAAAAAAAAATACCTGAAATATCTTTTGTAGCTATTTCTCCGTGTTAAGATTGTTGCATTTCTCAATGCCAAAAACCGAACCGTACATAGCACAGCTAGCACAAACACGGCCATTTAAATACACGGTCTCGTGCAGTTACCTTGTTATTGACTACTATATTTACCCAAGAATGTCAGTGTGTAACGCGTGTGACGTCACTCCATGCCAGCTGCCCTGATTAATAATCATGAACAGATGACGTCCTCCATATTGGACACGCTCACCATTAATTAAAAAAATTAGTGGGTGACGTCACTCCACATGGGAGGGGCGAGGCGCCTCCTTCCCCCTCCTCGGCGTCAACTCACAACCCTCACTACAAAGGCAGAAACCTCACGTCACGTGATCTCCGTAACGCTGTTGAGACATAGAAGTAAAAAGGACATCATGATAAACAAGGGATTATAACCTTAAAATGAAATGTCTGTGTCACCGCTGCCTTACAAATTGCACACGAATGGATGCAATGAATATCACGTTGCGGTCTGCTTTTCGCTTGCAAGTTTCAGATTTATTTTGGGAAACTTTTTTCCAGGGCAGGTAATAAAAAAAAGTACGATCCTTGGGAAACCAGGAGAGGTGGCCACCATACTTAGGAGCTCCCTTGCTCCCGCAACGATCGTGCCACCTGGCTGGACTATAGATTGTTTCCGTGCAACCTTTGACTTGTGGCACACCACCACGGGATAGGTGAGTAGAGTCCAAGACATAACGCATGGGGAATGAAATAGGAGCAGGCAAATGGAAGAGAGGCTGATGGAAAAGGTAATGGAAAAACGGCAACAAAAGGTCTGAAGAGATGAGGATAAAGAGGGGCTCCACGAGGGCCTAGACATGGCGTGAAACAGCGTCTGTTTTCACATGGGGTGGCGGGGAGGAGTGTGGGATTCAGAGTGGAGGTGGCCACACACAGAAGTCACGTGACTCACAAGAGGCCTGAGCTGATCTAGACAGAGGAAGATCTATAGATGGGAGGGGAGGGATTCAGAGTGGAGGTGGCAATCCACAGAAGTCAAGTGACTCACAAGAGGCCTGAGCTGATCTAGACAGGGAGATCTATAGATGAGAGGGGAGGGATTCAGAGTGGAGGTGGCCATCCACAGAAGTCACGTGACTCACAAGAGGCCTGAGCTGATCTAGACAGAGGGAGATCTATAGATGAGAGGGGAGGGATTCAGAGTGCAGGTGGCCATTTACAGAAGTCACGTGACTCACAAGAGGCCTGATCTGATCTCGACAGAGGGAGATCCATAGATGGGAGGGGAGGGATTCTGAGTGGGGGTGGCCACACAGAAGTCACGTTATCCATGGGAGGCTTGAGCTGATGTGGAGTGAAGCAGTTGCTGCTATATCAACGACTCAGCTATCACGAATGATTTAACCTCTGGCACAGAAATGTCATTTCATCCAGAAAAGAACAGGTGTTTTTTTTACTTAAAGCAAAATGGGGACTGTTTGCAGAGCTTCACAGCGGATTATGTACCTAATCGATAACCGAATATTGATTAGATTCATATTTGCTAAGCATCTGCAAAAGCAGTTGTCACGCAATAATTCCAAGATGCAGCTTAATCATGTCATTTATTACTGGGTTTTACAGGTCAGTAATTTTAACAGTGGGAACTAAAAAATATTAGTCTCATATACGGGTACTGACTAAGCATGTGTATGTGTAGTGTGGCTTTTCATTAAGTTTATGCCCATTTAACTGAATTGTCAGGTTGTGAGATGTTAACTACCTCGCTTAATATACAGGAGGTCGTGGGTTCTATCTTGACCCTGACGCCTGTTTATTTTGAAGTTCGCATATTCTCCCCGTGACCGCTTGGATTTTGCTCCGGGACCTCCGATTTTTCCCTCCCCGTTTATAAACATGCGTATAAGAGTATTTGGCTGCAATAAAGTTGCACGTGATAAGCCACTTCGTTGAGCTATTATTTGTAGCCAGGTCGCGTGTGAAAAAGAGATGTACAGCTCAGTGGGCCTTATATAGTTACAAAAAAATCTTCCTCGCCATGCTCGTTATGAATGTTTTCACATCTGTAAATGTATTCACATTTTCTACTTTGAAATGTATTTACATGTTCACATTTATCTCATTCATATTGAACTCCCTTAACCAATTCACATTTAGCTAATCTAATTCATTCATAGTTTAACTCGTTTAACATTTAATTCATTAAATTCACCATACTCATTCAACTAAAAGAGTTGGAGCCGCCCCTGTGGAAAATAAATCTGCCAGACGGGAGGTGATGGCGTGGCATTTACAAAAATAAATTATACATTTTGTACATGATATTGAACAAACCGAGAACTACCGTAATTGTTTTTGGTTTAATTTAAAGTTTTGCTGATGTTTTTTTTTCTACCCGCGTGGTTATATAAACTTATGTGTTCGTCATATCATATCATTGTCCGGTGCAACATTATTTGTAACACGCTTCCTTATATGAAGGAAATAATTGAAACGTTTATAGATGACAAAAGTTTAAAAAAATCTGGTTCACTTGAAAATGTACGATATGTACATCATTAGAGGCGAATCCCTTTGCATTTGTAGTGACAGAATTGGTCACTACGTGGCATAGCGCTGGCTGCTGGCAGGGAAGGGGATCTGCAGAGTGAAGCAGCCCTGACTGACAGCAGGCCACGTGATAGACTCGGGAGGGATCTAGGGTAAAGGTTACGGAGGGGACACGTCGAGATCCTGCTAGTAGATTCTAGAAGGGGAGCGTGGCCGGAGGGGAGCGAGGCCACGCTAACAGGATTAAAGGGGACCCCGAGCAGGGGATGAGGGCTGTCGTTTGGAGTGGGTTCCCCATCGTCGTCGCTGCTGAAGATCATCGCCATCGTCGCTGTCATCTCATCTGATATATTGCGCTGCTAGACTTAGTTGGCTGTCTTAGTTCAGCACCGTCAGTGTCAGATGGCTCGCGTTGTGTTGTAGGCTAGCTAACAGTGTAGAGTTGAGCTATAATTTGTGTACAGGTCGCTTCTGATAAAGAGCTATATAGCTCAGTGGGTCTTACCTGGGAAATATAACTATTTTTGGTACTATAAATCATTACGTGCCGAACGTTTAAAAAAACATACAAACCACACCACGATTACACTTAACAGTTAGTACTGTATATGCAAATGAATATTCTTTAAGAAGAAAAATACAGTACAGGAGAACTCTTATCCGCGACTCCGATTATCCACAGCAGCTGTAGGTGTTCTAGATGCCCGAGAAAACTCTGATTATCCACGTCCCTGTTTATTTCTAGAATCCGTGGTTACCCTCAATTTTACCCATAGTGCCTAGTGAATCTGCTTCCTAATACTGCCGATTGTTTTTTTGCAGAAAAAAAGGAGTCAGACAAAAACATTCATCCGATTGTCCACAGGTTATCCACGATGTTTTACTCATGTTGATAAGAGGAGTGAAATACCGCGGATAACCTCACAGATCAAAGGATCCACGATATTGGTCCCCCCCCCACCACTGTGGATAAGAGGAGTCCTGAATCTATTTTATGGTTATAAGTGAAGCAATGTTTCCTACTTCTCCGTGGAAACCTCGTGCAGGGATAAATATGCCAAGATGAGCAGTGAATATGTCATCTCAGCCAATCAGCTGTTGTGCGCTGTGCTAATAAAATAACGTGGAAAGCTAAACGGCAGATGACCAAAGGTGAAAAAAAGTGTAATTGTGGAGTTTTATAATTCGTTTTGTACAGTACGTACTGTATATATAAGTGTATATATGTGTATACAAGGCCG